CAAGAACAAGTCTAACAACCAAACAATGCAATGGAAAGAAAGCATAAACTAAATGCAAGTAATAAGAACTAAGCAATGAACTTAAAGCCATGACTAAGCAAAAACTAAACAAGGTGATCTTAAAGACAATTAATTAAAGGCAAGACTCAAGGTTCTAAGCAATTGTGGGATAGTAGTTTTTAAGAGTGAAAATGAGGATTTCTAACAAACGTAAGCATCAAGCATTCATAAGCAAGCAATTCTCAATGTTGTACTCCTAGACAAGCTATCTAAAAGGAATCAACTTGGCGTCAATAAGCAGTTCATATTCAACAAGATTGAAGTGTCAGACCCACTTGTAATGGCGTATTCTTCAACCATGAGCATAAAGATCAGAACAATTCTAGCATAAGAGATACACTAATCAAGCAGCCATTCTCTCACTCAAGCAAGAAATCAGATCAGAACTTGAGTCCTGATTTTGTCTGCTTGTTGTATTCAGAAACAGCAAATTTACCAATCTGTACCACATGAGGGTCATTAATGTTGGTGATAGGAATCCAGCCATCCACATGCGCAGCCGCAGACGCGTACACAGGGAGGAGGACAAGGAAGATGAGAAGAACGAAGATTGCTTTATTATTCATTTTTGCTGTGTAACCGGTTTGTTTCTCTAAAATTAATGATAGCAGAGGTTGTCAGAGTTCCTCTTATAGTAGAATCTTGCCACATGAACTTAAAAATATCTTGCTGATTTATGTGATACATAGCATATGTTAGAAAATATACTAAAACATTGGTCAAAAACAAAACTTTACATTTGATAAGTTAGAAAAGATAATAAAATTTTGGTAAAACAAAAGTTAGGAAAGATACTAAAAATTAAATTATTTCTTTCTTTTGGAATCCAACTTATACATACCCTCATTCAACCATTATTTTTGCCGGCCATTTTTTTATCTTTCAATCAATTAAATACTAGCTGTGGGAAAATCAAACAAATAATATCACTGAATATCAAAAATCACATTAGTTATGGGTTTACCATCTAGGATTGATAGTTTGACAATTTATAAACACATATATAAGTGTTAAGAAAGAAAAATGAGGATATACAAAAAGAGACTTCATACATCTTACGAGAGTATGTAATTTTGAATTTACAATCCAAAAAAATAATTATATATAAAACAATGCATAAAACAAAATATTTTTAGCGTAAGGTCTTTAGGATTCTGTCAAAGTAAAACTGATTTTGGACTTATTTTACATAGGAAGACCAAAGTGAATTTTATTGACTCTTATATTTTTTATCGCCATTGTTTCATTTTTCAACGTCTAAGAAAATTGTGTATTAGATGTAGATGACATGGTTAAATATTATGTTTTACATATTCTTTTTTTACATTAAAGTAAACTTATCAAATAGATTAAAGTTTTGGTTATGGTATTTACATTTCTTTGTAGCTATAAATTTATACTTATCTATGTTTCATCGGAAAACAGTTTCTAATGAATAAAATATGAGATATTCTGTTTTATTTAAATCTGATTTTAAACTTGCAAATATTTGAGAAGACTTCAAGCCCAATTATCTCTAAGTTCTTCGATCTTAGAAGATCAAAGTTATTTGGTATTTACACAATTCCATTGCTACAAGAGTTGGTATCAGAGTTATAGAATCCTCATCATGACGCCTAAGAAGAGTCTAAGATCCGCATAATTAGAGTATGTGCTAAACACTTATTTAATCAAATATCATTTTTTATTGATATCAAACAAAATACCATTTCTTCATTTTTTGATCATATTTTATTTACTCCAACAACACGAAATTTGTAAACCAGATGATACAAAACTTGACATTAATTATTTTTGTTTATTCTACATTAAAAGATCAGTTACACAAAAACCTAGAAGATTCGATTATTTTTTAGAACAGGTGTGAAATATGTGAGATTCATTTGTTTCTGCCACAGCTCCTCCCATACAATTGCCTCGTAGTTCTTGCTTGTGCTGGAGTCATCAGCCGCCACCACAATCCGATAATTCAAGCCAGAGACCACTTGAGATTCACCGCTAACAACCGAGTCGAACTCTAGTCCTGATTTAGTCTGCTTGTTGTATTCAGAAACAACAAATTCACCAATCTATACCACACAAGGGTCCTTAATGTTGGTGATAGGAATCCAGCCACCCAGACGTGCTGCCGCAGATGCGTACATAGGGGGGAGGACAAGGGAGATGAGAAGAATGCAGATTACCTTATTATTCATTTCTGCTGTGTAACCGTTTTGTTTCTCTCAAATTGATGGTAGCAGAGGTTGTCAGAGTTCCTCTTATAATAGAATCTTGCCACAAGAACTTATAAATTTCGTGCTGATTTATGTGATATATGGCATATGTTAGGAAAAATACTAAAACATTGGTCGAAAAAGAAAAGTTTACATGTTATAAGTTAGAAAAGATCATAAAACCTTGGTCAAAAAAAGTTAGAAATGATCCTAAAAAATAAATTTTTTATTTATCTTGAAATCTAACTTATACACTACTTGCACAGAAACTCGATGAAAACTCCGATTCCCATTTCAGAAATGTTCTGGAATCAGAAACGATCGGAAACGCTCAGAAACTCAGTGGAAACGCGTTTGTTGAAATTCTCAATTTGGAAACGGTATTGACAACGTATTTTAAAGACAATACATAAAAAAGTAAGAATATAATGGTATATTTGGTACTTGTTAACTTCAAAACCTAATTCTCTTAATCGATTTATGTTCCTAAAAAACCAAAAGACGATTAGAAGCTCAAACCTAGAAGAGACGAAGTCGAAGGCTTGAAGCAAAAAGGTGTGTTGTTTTCTAAATTAAGAACTTATAATCGTTTCCAGTTCATAAACAAATATATAAGTGTTGGAAAAAAAAACGAAGATATACAAAAAGAGGCTTCATACAACTTATGAGAGTATGAAATTTTAAATTTACTTCCCAAAAAAATAATTAATTATAAATACAATGCGTAAAACGAAATATTTTTAGCCTCAGGTCTTTAGGATTCTGTCAAAGTAAAACTGATTTTGGACATGTTTAGGAAGACTAAAGTGTATTTATTGACTCTTATAATTATTTATCGCCATTGTTTCACTTTTCAGCATCTAAGAAAATTGTGTATTATATGTAGATGACAAGGTTAAATAATATGTTTTATGTATTCCATTTTACATTAAAGTAAACTTATCAAATAGATTAAAGCTTTTGTTTTGGTATTTACATTTCTTCATAGTTATAAATATATACTTTTCTATGTTTCATCGGAAAGAACCTTCTAATGAATAAACTTTGAGAGATTCTGTTTTATTTAAATCTGACTTTGAACTTGCAAATATTTGAGAAGACTTCAAGCCCAATTATCTCTATGTTCTTCGATCTTAGAAGATCAAAGTTACTAGGTATTTACACTATTCTGTTTCTACAAGAGTTGGTATCAGAGTTAAAGAATTCTCATCATGACGCCTAAGAAGTGTCTTAGATCGGCATAGTTAGAGGATGTGCTAAACACTTATTTAAACTAAAATCATTTTTTTATTGATATCAAACAAAATACCATTTCTTCATTTTTATCAAATTTTATTTACTCCAACAACATAAATTTGTAAACCAGATAATACAAAAGTTGACATTAATTATTTTTGTTTGTTTAACTATAAAAAAATCAGTTACATAAAAAACCTAGAAGAAACGATAATTTTTTAGAAGAGGCGTGAAAGATGTGAGATTCATTGATTTCTGCCACAGCTCCTACTATACAACTGCCTCGTAGTTCTTGCTCGTGCCGGAGTCATCAGCCGCTACCACAAGCCGATAATTTAAGCATGGGACCACTTGAGATTCACCGCTAACAACCGAGTCGAACTTTAGTCCTGATTTAGTCTGCTTCTTGTATTCAGAAACAGTGAATTCACCAATATGTACCACATGAGGGTCCTTAATGTTGGGGATAGGAATTCAGCCACCCAGATGCGCTGCCGCAGATGTGTATAGAAGGAGGAGGAAAAGGAGATGAGATGAACGAAGATTACCTTATTATTCATTTCTACTGTGTAACCGTTCTAAAATTGACGATAATAGAGGTTGTCAGAGTTCCTCTCATAATAGAATCTTGCCACATGAAGTTATAAATTTCTTGCTGATTTATGTTATTCATGGCATAAGTTAGGAAAGATACTAAAACATTGGTCAAAATACAAAAGTTTACATGTGATAAGTAAGAAAAGATAATAGAATATTGGTTAAAAAAAAGTTAGGAAAATACTAAAACTTAATTAATTTATTTATTTTGGAATCCAACTTATACATACCCTCTATCTATCAACCATTATTTTTGTTAGGTCATTTTTTATTTTTCAATCAATTTATACTAGCTGTGAGAAAATCAAATAAACAATATCACTAAATATTAAAAATCACATTAATTATAGGTTTACCATTTAGGATTGATAGTTTGAAAGTTCATAAAAAAAAAATATAAGTGTTAGGAAAGAAAAACGAGGATTTAAAACAGAGACTTCATACATCTTATGAGAGTATGAAAATTTGAATTTACTATCCAAAACAATAATTAATTATAAATGAAATTCATAAAACGAAATATGTTTAGCCTCAGGTCTTTAGGATTCTGTCAAAGTAAAACTGATTTTGGTGTTATTTTTCACAGGAAGACCAAAGTGAACTTTATTGACTCTTATATTTTTATCGCCATTGTTTTATTTTTCAGAGTTTAAGAAAATTATGTATTATATGTAGATGACATGGTTAAATATTATGTTTTACGTATTCCTTTTTATATTAAAGTAAACTTATCGAATGGATTAAGGTTTTGGTTTTGGTATTTACATTTCTTCACAGCTATAAATATATACTTATCTATGTTTCATCGGAAAGCACACTCCACGGACATTTCTTCAATTTGACATTAATTGTTTTTGCTTATTCAACTATAAAAAGATCGGTTACATAATAAACCTAGAAGAAACGATTATTTTTGAGAATGGGCGTGAAAGATGTGAGATTCTTTGATTTCTGCCACAGCTCCTCCCATACAATTGCCGCGTAGTTCTTGCTCCTGCCAGATTCATCAGCCACCACCACAAGCCGATAATTCAAGCCAGAGACCACTTGAGATTCACCGCTAACAACCGACTTGAACATGAGTCATGAGGGTCCTTAATGTTGGTGATAGGAATCCAGCCACCCACACGCGCTGCCGCAGACGCGTACAGATGGAGGAGGACAAGGGAGATGAGAATAACGAAGTTTACTTTATTATTCATTTCTGCTGTGTAACTGTTTTGTTTCACTCAAATTAATGATAGCAGAGGTTGTTAGAGTTTCTCTTATAGTAGACTCTTGCCACATGAACTTAAAAATTTCTTGCTGATTTATGTGATACATAGCATAAGTTAGGAAAGATACTAAAACATTGGTAAAAAAAAAAGAGTTCACATGTGATAAGTTAGAAAAGATAATAAAATTTTGGTAAAAAAAAAGTTAGAAAAGATACTAAAAATTAAATTATTTATTTCTTTTCGCATCCAGCTTATACATACCCTCATTCAACCATTATTTTCGTCTGGCCATTTTTGTATATTTCAATCAATTAAGTACTAGCTGTGAGAAAATCAAACAAATAATATCACTGAATATCAAATATCACATTAGTTATGGGTTTACCATTTTGGATTGATAGTTTGACCGTTCATAAACACATATATGAGTGTTAGGAAAGAAAAACAATGGTATACAAAAAGAGACTTCATACATCTTACGAGAGTATGAAATTTTGAATTTACAATCCAAAAAAATAATTATTTATAAAACAATGCATAAAACGAAATATTTTTAGCGTCAGGTCTTTAGGATTTTGTCAAAGTAAAACATATTTTGGACTTATTTTACACAGGAAGACCAAAGTGAACTTTATTGACTCTTATATTTTTTTATCGCCATTGTTTCATTTTTCAACGTCTAAGAAAATTGTGTATTATATGTAAATGACATGGTTAAATATTATGTTTTACGTATTCCTTTTTTACATTAAAGTAAACTTATCGATTAGATTAAAGTTTTGGTTATGGTATTTATATTTCTTCACAGCTATAAATATATACTTATCTATGTTTTACCGGAAGGCACACTCCATGGACATTTCTTCAACATGACATTAATTGTTTTTGCTTATTCAACTATAAAAAGATCGGTTACATAAAAAAACCTAGAAGAAACGATTATTTTTGAGAAAGGGCGTGAAAGATGTGAGATTCTTTGATTTCTGCCACAGCTCCTCCCATACAATTGCCTTGTAGTTCTTGCTCCTGCCAGATTCATCAGCCACCACCACAAGCCGATAATTTAAGCCAGAGACCACTTGAGATTCACCGCTAACAACCGAGTTGAACTTGAGTCCTGATTTTGTCTGCTTGTTGTATTCAGAAACAGCGAATTCACCATTCTGTAGCACATGAGGGTCCTTAATGTTTGTGATAGGAATCCAGCCACCCACACGCGCTGCCGCAGATGCGTACAAAGGGAGGAGGACAAGGAAGAAGAGAAGAACGAAGATTGCTTTATTATTCATTTCTGCTGTGTAACCATTTTGTTTCTCTAAAATTAATGATAGCAGAGGTTGTCAGAGTTCCTCTTATAGTAGAATCTTGCCACATGAACTTAAAAATTTCTTGCAGATTTATGTGATACATAGCATAAGTTAGGAAAGATACTAAAACATTGGTCAAAAACAAAAGTTCACATGTGATAAGTTAGAAAAGATAATAAAATTTTGGTAAAAAAAAAAGGTTAGGAAACATACTAAAAATTAAATTATTTATTTCTTTTGGAATCCAGCTTATACATACCCTCATTCAGCCATTATTTTCGTCTGGCCATTTTTTTTATCTTTCAATCAATTAAATACTAGCTGTGAGAAAATCAAACAAATAATATCACTGAATATCAATAATCACATTAGTTATAGGTTTACCATTTAGGATTGATAGTTTAACAGTTCATAAACACATATATAAGTGTTAGGAAGGAAAAAGGAGGATCTACAAAAAGAGACTTCATATATCTTACGAGAGTATGAAATTTTGAATTTACAATCCAAAAAACAAATCAATTATCAAACAATGCATAAAACAAAATATTTTTTGCGTCAGGTCTTTAGGATTCTATCAAAGTAAATCTGACTTTGAACTTGCAGATGTTTGAGAAGACTTCAAGCCCAATTATCTCTAAGTTCTTTGATCTTAGAAGATCAAAGTTACTTGGTATTTACACAATTCCGTTGCTAAAAGAGTTGGTATCAGAGTTGTAGAATCCTCATCATGACGCCTAAGAAGAGTCTATGATCCGCATAATTAGAGGATGTGCTAAACACTTATTTAATCAAATACCATTTCTTTATTAATATCAAACAAACTACCATTTCTTCATTTTTATCATATTTTATTTACAACAATACAAAATTTGTAAATATTGGTGATAGGAATCCAGCCATCCAGACGCGCAGCCGCAGATGCGTACATAGGGAGGAGGACAAGGGAGATAAGAAGAACGCAGATTACCTTATTATTCATTTCTGCTGTGTAACCGTTTTGTTTCTCTCAAATTGATGGTAGCAGACGTTGTCAGAGTTCCTCTTATAATAGAATCTTGCCACATGAACTTATAAATTTCTTACTGATTTATGTGATATATGGCATACGTTAGGAAAGATACTAAAACATTGGTCGAAAAACAAAACTTTACATGTTATAAGTTAAAAAAGACCATAAAATCTTGGTAAAAAAAAAGTTAGGAAAAATATTAAAAATTAACTTTTTATTTATTTTGAAATCTAACTTATACATACCCTCTATCTTTCAACCATTATTTTTCTCAGGACATTTTTTTTTATCTTTCAATCAAATAAATTTTAGCTGTGAGAAAAAACAAATATATAATATTACTGAATATCAAAAATAACATTAATTATTGGTTTAACATTTAAGATTGATAGTTTGACTGTTCAAAAATAAATATATAAGTGTTGGAAAAAAAGAGGATATATAAAAAAAGACTCTATACATCCTACGAGAGTATAAAAGTTTGTATCTACTATCCTAAAAAATAATTAATTATAAATACAAGGCATAAAATGAAATATTTTTACCCTCAGGTGTTTAGGATTCTGTCAAAGTAAAACTGAATTTGGACTTATTTTCACAGGAAGAGCAAAGTGAACTCTATTGACTCTTATATTTTTTTTTATAGCCAGTGTTTCATTTTTCAGCATCTAAGAAAATTGTGTATTATATGTTGATGACGTATTTAAATATTATGTTTTACGTATTCCTTTTTACATTAAAGTAAACTTATCGAATAGATTATGGTTTTGGTTTTGGTATTTACATTTCTTCATAGCTATAAATATATACTTATCCATGTTTCATCGGAAAGCAGCTTCTAATGAATAAACTTTGAGAGATTCTGTTTATTTAAATCTGACTATGAACTTGCAAATATTTGAGAAGACTTCAAGCCCAATTATCTCTAAGTTCTTCAATCCTAGAAGATCAAAGTAACATTGTATATACATTATTCTGTTGCTACTAGAGTTGGTATAAGAATTAAAGAATCCTCATCATGACGTCTAAAAAGAGTCTTAGATCGGCATAATTAGAAGATGTGCTAAACACTTATTTAATCAAATAGCATTTCTTTATTGATATCAAACAAAATACCATTTCTTCATTTTCATCAAATTTTATTTACTCCAACAACACGAAATTTGTAAACCAGATGATACAAAACTTGACATTAATTATTTTTGTTTATTCAATATTAAAAAGATCAGTTACATAAAAACCTAGAATAAATGATTATTTTAGAGAAGAGGCGTGAAATATGTGAGTTTATTGATTTCTGCCGCAGCTCCTCCCATACAATTGCCTCGTAGTTCTTTCTCGTGCTGGAATCATCAGCCGCCACCACAATCCGATAATTTAAGCCAGAGACAACTTGAGATTCACCGCTAACAACCGAGTCAAGCTTGAGTGCTGATTTAGTCTGCTTGTTGTATGCAGAAACAGCAAATTCACCAATCTATACCACATGAGGGTCCTTAATATAGGTGATAGGAATCCGGCCACCCAGACGCGCTGCCGCAGATGCGTATAGAGGGAGGAGGACAAGGGAGACGAGAAGAACGAAGATTACCTTATCATTCATTTCTGCTGTGTAACAGTTTTATTTCTCTCAAACAGAAGATAGAAGAGGTTGTCAGAGTTCCTCTTATAATAGAATATTGGCACATGAACTTATAAATTTCTTGCTGATTTATGCTATACATGGCATAAGTTACGAAAGATACTAAAACATTGGTCAAAAGACAAAAGTTTACATGTGATAAAGGTAACAAAATCCTGGTAAAAAAAAACGTTTGGAAAGATACTATTGATTAATTTTTTTTATTTATTTTGGAATCCAACTTATACATACCCTCTATCTTTCAACCATTATTTTTGTCAGGACATTTTTTATCTTTTAATGAAATAAATACTAGCTGTGAGAAAATTAAATAAATAATATCACTGAATATCAAAAATCACATTAATTATTGGTTTACCATTTAGGATTGATAGTTTGACAGTTCATAAACAAATATATAAGTGTTGAGAAAAAATACGAGGATATACAAAAAGAGACTATGCATTTTAGGAGAGTATGAAATTTTGAATTTACTATCCAAAAAAATAATTATTTATAAATATAATGCATAAAACGAATTATTTTAAACTTCAGGTCTTTAGGATTCGGTCAAAGTAAAACTGATTTTGGACTTAATTTACATAGGAAGACCAAAGTGAACATTATTGTGTCTTATATTTTCTTATCGCCATTGTTTCATTTTTCAGCGTCTAAGAAAATTGTGTATTATATGTAGATGACATGGTTAAATATTATGTTTTACATATTCATTTTTACATAAAAGTAAAATTATCGAATAGATTAAGATTTTGATTTTGGTATTTACATTTCTTCAAAGCTATAAATAGATACTTATCAATGTTTCATCGGAAAGCAGCTTCTAATGAATAAACATTGAGAGATTTTGTTTTATTTAAATCTGACTTTGAACTTGCAAATATTTGAGAAGACCTCAAGCCTAATTATCTCTATGTTCTTCGATCATAGAAGATCAAAGTTACTTGGTATTTACATTATTCCGTTGCTACAAGAGTTGGTATCCGAGTTAAAGAATCCTCATCATAACGCCTAAGAAGAGTCTTAG